GAGCTGGCTGCCGTTCTAAGCACCTGGCCTCCCTGACCCCTGACCTCACAGACACCTGGGTAGGAGGTGCAGAAACCCACCCGCAGTGTCACACACATGTGCACCTGCGACCAGCCTTCTGCACAACAGAGGTTTCAAGACAAACAGAACTGAGAGCAAAGCTCAGACAGTGCTACCAGGCTGTCATTCCCGGCTCGCAGGGCGTGGCTGGACAGCCCTCCCTGGATCGAAGGGCGTGGCCTGGACAGCACCACCAGGCTCACAGGGCATGGCCCTGGACAGCCCTCCCCGGATCGAAGGGCGTAGCCCTGGACAGCCCTACCCAGATCGAAGGGCGTGGCCCAGACAGCACTACCAGGCTCACAGGGCATGGCCCTGGGCATCCCTCCCCAGCTTGCAGGGTGTGGCCCTGGACAGCCCTCACAGGCTAAGGAGGTCCCAGGCTTCTCCTGTCCTCCCACAGATCACCGGGAGTTGCAGTCCCTCCTCCGACAGCCAGCCAGGCCCTGCCTGCCGCGTGAACCAGGGGAAGCAGGCCCCAGTGGGCGTGGCTTGGCGTGCGGGCCCCAGAGCAGGGCTCTGTGGTGCCTTACCCCGGCGCTGGAGAGGATGTGGGTCAGGAGGCCGTTCCCGCAGCCCAGGTCCACGAAGGACTGCCTCTGGCTCTGCCCTCGCGCTGCCCGCTCCTCTTCCCACAGGACCTGAGGGAGCAGGACCAACCGCAGAAATGAAAAGGGCGGGGACAGGCCTGTTGGTCCCCCACCCACCGTCCCCGAGAGCTCACCACAGCGCTTTCCTGGGCTTACAGACCCCACGTCCACAAACAGGGAGGCCTCACCTCCGCCCGGGCCTCTGGCAGGCCACACAGGCACAGGCCGCAGGCTCAGTCTCTGCCTGTGCGGGACGCTGCCCACGGCCCTCGGGCCCCAGCTGGGGCACCTCAAACCTTCCTCTGGCCCCAGAGGCCACAACTGAAGGGGTCACCTCCTCGTACGGCCTGAACAGAGCCCGGGTGCCTTAGTTTTCCTAACTTTGTAGAATCATTGGAAACAAACGCTATTCCTAAAAAGTCCAAGAAAGTAGTAGCTGCAGGGAAATCGGAGGTTACCTGCCATGAGCATCTTACAGATAAGTCTTAAAGCAGGGGCCCCACCCAGAGAGACCAGTCCCAGACCAGGCCCCGCCCAGAGAGAACAGGCTGCCGGCACCTGGCAGCCCATTCACGGCTCAGGTTCTCCCCTTTCACACAACCGAACCGAACCGAACTCACTGTTGACCCCTCCTTAGGCTTCTGAGGTGGTATCACTATGAAGTAGATCGCCCAGTCTTCCTTCCGAGGAGTAGCTGGTGGGTTTGAAC